CTATCTGCATCGGCCCAGCTATTGCGACGCCGCCTTCGCTCTGGAGCAGATTTCCAAGGTGCATTTCAGACTCTTTCCTCTCCTCCCACTCTCTTTTCCCTCCTCTTCCTCTTTGGGATCGCCCTCGCGCCACACACACACACACACACACACACACACACACACACACACACCCCTCTCCAGGAAAAGCAGCAGACAAGTGGGGATTGAAAATTCAAACCCTCCCTCCGGTCCTGGGAGGAAAGGGCTGTCTGAGGTCCGCAGGGGGTGGAGGTGTGTGTGTGTATGTGTGTGTGTGTGTGTACACACGCCTCCCCGGCGTGCTTTTTCCGGAGCACTGGAAAGCAGCCCACAGTGGACCACCTCGAGGGCGGCCGCCGCACTGCCCTGGCCCGCGCCCCCTGCCCGGGAGCTCCCTCTTCCCGCGCCCCTGCCCCTATTAGCAGCCTAAACCCCTGTAAGACTGCCACATTTCTTAACTTCTTGGAGGGGGAGGCGGAGTGGAGAGAGGCGGAGAGAGGAAGGGGGGAGGGAGCCGAAATAAAGGTGGTTTCCTTTTTTGGCAGCCGGTTTTGCTTTTGTTGAGCATGAAATACCTACTCCCTCAATAATGATATTCGGAAGAAGTCATCCCCCCTTTTCTGCAGTTTTAGAGCCGGCCCTCTTCATAGCCTTGGGTGGGGAGGGCGCGTTGTAAACAAATTGCCACCTTAAATCTGCTCTGCGGGTCTGTGGAGCGGCCGGGTTCATTGTGTTTACGAGGCTTGCTGAAATGTGTGGAATCCGGGAAAGGCGAGCACCTAGACCGGGGCCCGCCGGGGCCGTGGCCAGCGCTGGGGAAACGCCGCCGCCGGGAGCAGCCTTGCGCCCAGCCAAGACCCCCGCCTGCGCCGGCCTGGGCCCTTCCCCTGTGCACTTGGCTGTTTTTTATGTTTAACCAGAAGGGAAGGGAGATGAGGGAAAGATCCATGTGGCTGCCCTCTTCCCAGCACAAATATTGTCGTAAGTTGGATCACAAATATTGTCGTAAGTTGCAGATGGCTGCCCCACTCCCTAATTCAGCTCACAAGGCGTCTCCCAGCGCTATGGAAATGCAACCGGAGTGAGCCCGGCGGCCGCGCTCACCACGTGGAGCCCCGTTTACTACCTACCACTCCGGGCTGAGGTCCGGGTGGGGGGACCTTCAATACACGTTAGCAAAGGGCGTTGGGGACCTTAGCACCCATTCCCGCTGGGGTGCCCCGAGACTGGTGATGGATGGGGCAGGACTGACGGGAAAGGAGGAGGTGGTTTGCCGGTTCTTAAATGTTGGGCTCTGTTGCTGTGGGTGATACAGCCCCTTCCTTCCCAGGTCTGGACTTCTCTTTGCCTCGGTTTCTCCGAGGCAGCCCTTCTCCCCAGGGTCCCAAATCGCTCACACACGCACACACAGGCCAAGAGTGGGGTCCCCGGCATGTCCCCAAGATGCAGCTCCCACGCTGCAGTTCGACTTCGCTTTCTGACCCAGTCCCCCCACGCCGTTCGCAACTCTCCGGCCCGCCAGGGTTCCAACCCGGAGGGCGAATCCCAGCGCCGCGGCCGCCTGCGCCCCCACCGCTGATGGGGGGATCCCCGGGCGGGTGCGCGCGAGCAGGCGTGGGCGCGCGGGCCACGACTCCCCGGCGCTCACTCCTCCCTTCTGCTTCGTCCCCACGGGAAGGCTACTGGCCGGAAAGCGCCGCTGTGGCTGAGAGCGAAGTTTCAGAGACTCTTATTTAAACTGGGTTGTTACATTCAAAAAAACTGCGGCAAGTTCTTGGTTGTGGGCCTCCTCATATTTGGGGCCTTCGCTGTAGGATTAAAGGCAGCTAATCTCGAGACCAACGTGGAGGAGCTGTGGGTGGAAGGTAAGAGACCCTGCGCCCGCCGCCGCGCCCGCTCACCCCCACCTCGGGCCCCCTCCCTTCCCTTCCCTCCCCTCCCAATTGATAAAGATATTTGCCAGCATACACCTAGATCCTTGCTGTGGCCGGCGAAAACCCCCTGCCCGCACCAGGGGGAATTGTTTATTGTTTGGGCGCCCGGGCGGGCGGCACGCCAGCCCGC